TGAGGGAGACCGAGGAGGATTGTTCACACGAGAAATCCCTGCAACTCTATATGACAACATGTAGAGTATTGTTAACCAGGGTCAGTCACATAGGCATGGAGCACCCGGGCGGCTGACCCTAGCTACTTAGTCTCGAGTCCCTCCAGAGATCACACTGACAGCGTGGCCCAAAGCCCCCACTATCAATCACTTTTTTAGCATAAACTATCAGGCATGGCCCAAGTTCCCAGATATACAAAGCCTACTTTTGTCAGGAGCAATATTCCAAAGGCTTGGAGGGTATCTCCCAGGAAATGGTCAAGAGCCATTCTCTATTTTTTTTTCCCCCATTCAAATGTGCAGGGTTTGAGCCACCCAAGCCTGCTGCCTCACCTGAGTACATACACCGCGTACTCAAGAGCACCTCTTGGGGAAAATCGCTCCCTAGGCTTTTCACCGGGGCACGAGATCTGCCCTGTTCATTGCTTTCCTGATCTCAGTTCACAGCAACTCCATCCTCGTGGCTCAGGCCACAGAACTCAGAGTCACCCTCGACCTCTCTCCTCCCACATCCCCAATCCATCAGCCAATCTCCTTGATTCTATTTTCAAAGTATCTCCGTCTCTTTCTGCTTCCCTTACTTCCACCCCTCCTCCTGGTCCCAACCACTACCCTCTCTCTCTGGGTGAGTCTGAGCACCTTCAAACTGGGCTGCCTGGTTTTGCCTGGGGGCCCGTCTACACCAGGGAGCCAGAGGACCCTTAAAAACCATACATCAAATCATGTCATTCCCCTACTCCAAACCCTTTACTGACTTAATCTCACTCAGAGGAAAAAACAAATCCTCTGTCCCCAAGCGCCTCCCTGACTTAATTCGGATTTACTCCCACACGGGCCTCCTAGGCCGCAGCACACGCCCTGGCTTCAGGCTTGCATTTGCCATTCCCGCTCTCCCTGCCCATTCCTTCAAGTCCCTTCAAGTCTTGGCTCGGTGAACCCCTCCTTTACCGCTCTGTATGACACAAGACAGAAGCACCCTCTATCTTCCGGCCACCGTTCTTGAGTATTTATCCCCACAGCACTTACGCCCCTGTGACACCAAACGTATCTGTCTCTGTGTCGGCTGCCTTCGCCCCCCACCCCCGCCCCAGGAGCCTCTAAGCTCCAGGAGAACAGAAGCTGCCTCTCGCACTCCTGCGCTCCCTGTAGTTGGCGGGGTGCACGTGTACAGGCAAAGGACCGTATCAACAGGCTGGCAGCAACTGCTCACTCTTGGGTAGCTTTGATTCCACAGCAGCACAGTGGTTCAGAAGCTGACGGCCTTTTCTCAGCATGCAGTGTAATTCTTCCATACGGCCAAGCAATCCCTGTTTTCAGGAGAAAGTAGAGGATAATTTAGGGCAGGTTCTGCAATCGGTAGGTCAGCTCCATGAGCGCAGTGTTTGGGGTTCATGAACATGTGTTGATTGGCCAAAGAACCCTTCCACCTAATCTTGAGATCACTGAGTGGCACCATAGAGAGAACTTTAATGATGATCTGCCCATTTGCTGTTGGGGCTAAATGAGATTTCCAGAGGGTACGTGACCTACCCAAGGTCTCAACACTAACTAGAATTAGGTTTCCCAAGTCCCATCCCATGGTTCTTTCCCAACCACCAAGCTGCCTGTGACAGGTTCAAAGGCCTGAGGAAAACTTTGGATCAAAAATCAGAGAGGAAGGACAAGGGTGTTAGGATCACGCTGTTTACATCTCACTCTGCAGCATAAGGAGCTGGATTCAGAACCAAGTCAGACAGAGTGGGGACCTTGGGCGTGATCTCCTTGGCCTCCTCTGGTCCCCTTGGGTTCCTGAGCACCGCCTGCCTCCACTCCCTGCCCTTTGTCACATGACCCCAGGCTATGGAAACAGCAGATGTTGTGACACATCAGAAATTTCATTGTGAAATGAATCCGGCCTTAGCTGACATGGAGAGGAGCTGTGAGTCACATGGGGGGGGGTGTCTCCACCCCTCCTGCAACCCTCCCTGGTTGTCCTGTCCTCTCATTGTCTCCAGTCTCTGGGGTCCCACCTTCTCTAAGTCCGCATCCAGCTGTAGCGGGGTTGAGCCCCATCACTTTTTTATCCTTACCTGAGGATCTGTTTACTGATATTTAGAGGGAGAGGAAGAGAGAAACATGGATGGGTTGCCTCCCACAATTATCCCAACCAGGGATCAAACCCACAACTTAGGTATGTGCCCTGATTGGGAATCAAACCCGAAACCTTTGGGAGCACGGGGCAGTGCCCCAACCAACCGAGCCACCTGGCCAGGGCAAGCCCCATCACGTCTCCCCCAGGAACCTGAACATCTGTGACGGAGCCTTCTTTCCACACTGTGCTTGCTAACTGACCCACCCGCTTCCAGGGTCTGGACCATTCTTGGCTCAGGAAATGTTTTTCAGAGAATCCATCACAGCTGCTGCTGGTTGCTCCCTCTCTTGAAGCCCCTTTTAAAGTATTCATGAGGTGTCACAGGGGAAGGAGGAGACAAGGCCCTTTACATCTCAAAGACAGTGTGAAAGCAATATACAAAATTTTATTAAAAACAACCACCCCCGTAATTGCTACCAACATGCTACTTTTAAAGTTCTAGAACAATCATGAAATTAGAAGGTGGTGTCCCAGCTCAGCGGTGAGCAAACGGTCAACAGGCTATGCGGGGCTGTCTGGGTTTGGACCACCTGGGTGAACTGTGTGTGTGTGTGTGAGTGTGCACATGCAAAATTACCCCAGGACATTAGCCAAATGTGAAGTATCTTTCCGAGTCTCACATCTGTTTAAATTATGGCATTTAAAGAAGAGAGGCTGCCCTTAGCTTATTAAAAAGTTACAGCAATAATATGGAGAACCAAAGAGTTATAGAAAACCACAGTCAATAGTAATTCATCCTCGGTAAAATAATAACTGGAAGTCAAAATAATTTAACAAATTCTATCTTTTCCAAAAACAAAGCAAAACAAAAAAAGACTCTTAAGCCTACTTACCGAAAATTCTCTGAAAGCGCAGACATGAACTATCCAGTGAATATAAATAAGGTCCTGATGCTCGCTTTGCTGTCTTC